GAGCAGGGGTAGGCAACCTTGGCTCTTTTATGACTCGTGGACTTCAACTCCCAGAATTCCTGAGCCAGCATGGCTCACCTTGGAAACCTCTCCCTTTCCCCTCAGCATGGCTGGCTCAGGAATTCTGGGAGTTGAAGTCCACAAGTCATAAAAGGGCCAAGTTTGAAGATCCCTGCTTGTGGACTTCAACTCCCAGAATTCATCAGCCAGGCATGCTGGCTCAGGAATTCTGGGAGTTGAAGTCCACGAGTCATAAAAGAGCCAAGGTTGCCTACCCCTGCACTAGAGCATAGTTATATCTTAGTATGGAATTAGCTTGTCTAAAATATAGCAATGGCTGTTTATTTGAACATTTTATATAGGGATTAAACCAATTCATGGAAGATAATGCTGTCAATGGCTATTAGCCACCACAGTTATTTATTGTTTCTCCTAGTGGCATTATGTTCCTGATTACCCATTACTAGGAAACATTTGTGAGAGTGTGGTGTTGTATTAGTGCCTCACTTGAAAGCTTATGGGTGTCATATCTGCCACTGTGGGAATAAAATGATAGAGTAAGAGGGGCTTTGGATCAGATCCAGTAGTGTTTTTTTTCTGTTCTTTCTTCCAGAGTGGCAACAACTCTCTGCTTCTCTCTTGTTAAGAAGTATCATGTAAAGAGACAGGGAAGAAGCATTCTGGTATGGGAATTGTCAAGGGAAGAAGAGGAGGAAGGAGATGTAGCCAGCTTATATATCAGGGGTGGCGAACCTATGGCACGGGTGCCAGAAACGGCACTCAGAGCCCTCTCTGTGGGCATGCGCGCCGTCGCCCCAGTCCTAGGCCTTCAGCTGGGTTTTATAAAACCTTTTCGCTTTAGGCCTCCACCGCCGTGTTCCCCCCCCCAAAGGTTCAATCAATCAGTCAATTTCAACTTCTCGAGGGAAAAAAAAGATCTTTGCAAAGTTGGAATTGATTGATTGAACTTTTTAGTCCCACCCAGTCTGCTGTTACCACCACAGCCACGCCCACCCAATGGGCCACACCCACCCGGCACTGGACGATGGATAAGTGGGTTTTGGGTTGCAGTTTGGGCACTCGGTCTCTAAAAGGTTCGCCATCACTGTTATATATAAACCTGTCAGCCATGAGGCACCAGAAGGTGCATTGTGAGTGAGGGCTTGGATGGTGATTGTAGAAGAGTGAAGGGGCTTTTTGCAGAACACCAGCCTAGAGAAAAATATAAAGCAGGATTCCCCCTTTCCAACCCCTATTAAGCCTGTGGAATTCCAGTTTTCTCTATTGACAAGGCTTACACTAAAATTGCTGTGTATTTCAGGTCTCAAAATAGTGGGAAATCATGCTACGCATTAATTTTGGCAATGATAGGCAGAGAGAATTAAAAAAAAAAAGAATTAGTGGAACCTCAAAAAGTTGCACAGCAATCTATCTATATAAATAAAAATGTAAATGTTCGTTTGTTCAAAATCTTAAATCTCCGAAAGTTCTTCACCGATTGCTTTGAAATTTTGACACAACGTTGCATTCGAATACGTGCGTGTTTTTATATACCTATATTATATAGATGGCACACCTGTGACAGGTAAAACATGCTTTTTTAAAAAAAAACAGCGCCATCTGTTGGACATAAAAGCAACACACGCTTTTACCAGACTGAGCCACAGCAACGCATGGCCGGGTACAGCTAGTGTTTGAATAAACATATTCAAATGAAATTTAAAATGTTAATAAAACAAGAATGCTTTATTAAGTAAACTACAACAGCAGCAAATTATTTAAACCATTAAATGTTTTCATCACATAATTTAAAATGTATGATTGAGAGAATTAGAAATTCTCCAGCACTGGAGATGGAGGATCCACCCATGGGTAGTAGACTGTATTCCTGCCCAATCAGATTAAGTCAGCCAAAGTTGCCACGCCCGTCCTGGACCCTAGATCCCAGTCTTGACTTAATCTTGCCCATGGACGGACGTATAACTCTGGCTCTCAGGCAGGTATAGTCTGGACTTTGGGTGAATCCTCCACCTTCNCGTACCTTGAGGACTACCTGTATACAGCACCTGTGTTGCATGTCCCACATTGGCTACCTATAGGCTTCTAGGTACAATCCAAAATGCTGCTGTTTTTATGTACTAATATTTAATCTGGATCATAACATTCACTCATGCCTTTATTGGAATTTAAATATACTTTTACATTTATTGTGAATGCTTTATTAGCCTGTTTTTTTCCATAGCTTATTTAGCAGGTTATAAATGCAAATAGTCTAAATTCTTTTGAACATGAGAGCCTCCCTTATTGGTTCCATTTTATGTTGCCATTCTTTACTTAAAATTTCATGTGATGAGGTTGATGGAACATGGGACCCATATTTTAGAGGCCAAATATCTTAATTAGGTTTCTCATAGAGTGTTGACTGTGAAGGAATGTCGGAAATGCAAATTCCATTCTTAATTTTAGTAGAAAAGAGTAAAGTTACATGTTGGCATGAACAGACTTGAAAATTTCTATTTTTTTGCTGACATACATCAAAGAGAGTATTGTAGAGCTGGAAATTCCACAGAAAAGAACATTTTTGCAGAAATGTTGGGAGATTGCAGTAACTATCTTGCGAGGAAAGATTACAACATTTGAGGATTTTAGCTTTAAGCAAGAAGACAGAGAGGTGAGGCAGACATGATAGATGCATGTAAAACATGTATGTTGTAGTTGGATGCTAGAATCCAGGATCAGCCAATAACATTCACTGATTGGAGAGGGAGGACAGAAAAAAGGTATTTCACTAGAGCAGGGGTAGGCAACCTTGGCTCTTTTATGACTCGTGGACTTCAACTCCCAGAATTCCTGAGCCAGCATGGCTCAGCTTGGAAACCTCTCCCTTTCCCCTCAGCATGGCTGGCTCAGGAATTCTGGAAGTTGAAGTCCACGAGTCATAAAAGGGCCAAGTTTGAAGATCCCTGCTTGTGGACTTCAACTCCCAGAATTCATCAGCCAGACATGCTGGCTCAGGAATTCTGGGAGTTGAAGTCCACGAGTCATAAAAGAGCCAAGGTTGCCTACCCCTGCACTAGAGCATAGTTATATCTTAGTATGGAATTAGCTTGTCTAAAATATAGCAATGGCTGTTTATTTGAACATTTTATATAGGGATTAAACCAATTCATGGAAGATAATGCTGTCAATGGCTATTAGCCACCACAGTTATTTATTGTTTCTCCTAGTGGCATTATGTTCCTGATTACCCATTACTAGGAAACATTTGTGAGAGTGTGATGTTGTATTAGTGCCTCACTTGTAAGCTTATGGGTGTCATATCTGCCACTGTGGGAATAAAATGATGGAGTAGAGGGGCTTTGGATCAGATCCAGTAGGGCTCTTTTTCTGTTCTTTCTTACAGAGTGGCAACAACTCTCTGCTTCTCTCTTGTTAAGAAGTATCATGTAAAGAGACAGGGAAGAAGCATTCTGGTATGGGAATTGTCAAGGGAAGAGGAGGAAGGAGATGTAGCCAGCTTATATATCGGGTGGTGAACCTATGGCACGGGTGCCAGAGACGGCACTCAGAGCCCTCTCTGTGGGCACGCGTGCCGTCGCCCCAGTCCTAGGCCTTCAGCTGGGTTTTATAAAACCTTTTCGCTTTAGGCCTCCACCGCCGTGTCCCCCCCCAAAAAAGGTTCAATCAATCAGTCAATTTCAACTTCTCGAGGGAAAAAAAAGATCTTGCAAAGTTGGAATTGATTGATTGAACTTTTTAGTCCCACCCAGTCTGCTGTTACCACCACAGCCATGCCCACCCAATGGGCACACCCTCCCAATGGGCCACACCCACCCGGCACTGGACGATGCATAAGTGGGATTTGGGTTGCAGTTTGGGCACTCGGTCTCTAAAAGGTTCGCCATCACTGTTATATATAAACCTGTCAGCCATGAGGCACCAGAAGGTGCATTGTGAATGAGGGCTTGGTTGGTGATTGTAGAAGAGTGAAGGGGCTTTTTGCAGAACACCAGCCTAGAGAAAAATATAAAGCAGGATTCCCCCTTTCCAACCCCTATTAAGCCTGTGGAATTCTAGTTTTCTCTATCGACAAGGCTTACACTAAAATTGCTGTGTATTTCAGGTCTCAAAATAGTGGGAAATCATGCATTAATTTTGGCAATGATAGGCAGAGAGAATTAAAAAAAAAGGATTAGTGGAACCTCAAAAAGTTGCACAGCAATCTATCTATATAAATAAAAATGTAAATGTTCGTTTGTTCAAAATCTTAAATCTCCTAAATTTCTTCACCGATTGCTTTGAAATTTTGACACAACGTTGCATTTGAATACGCGCGTGTTTTTATATACCTATATTATATAGATGTCACACCTGTGACAGGTAAAAACATGCTTTTTAAAAAAAAAACAGCGCCATCTGTTGGATGTAAAAGCAACACACGCTTTTACCAGACTGAGCCACAGCAACGCGTGGCCGGGTACAGCTAGTGTTTGAATAAACATATTCAAATGAAATTTAAATGTAGATGGCAAAAAGTAGATGGCAAAACAAGAATGCTTTATTAAGTAAACTACAACAGCAGCAAATTATTTAAACCATTAAATGTTTTCATCACATAATTTAAAATGTATGATTGAGAGAATTAGAAATTTCAGCATTTAGTTAAACACAATCCCAGATGTGGGGGTGGGGAATCCATGCTTGCATTGCATAATCAAGTAAAAGTCTTTTTAGGATGTATATCTGTGATATTTGGATACCATCTTAATTTGGCCACATTGTCTTGTTTGTTTGATAATGCATGGTAAAGTTTACTGATTATGTACTTGCTTTTCTTTCTGTGTTTATATAGTTTCTTTTAATTTTAAAAATCCATTGGGGATAGAGGATCTTCTAGTATCCAGCTAGTGTTTAGTTTCCCAGTATTGGGAAATCCAATATTTCCCATTGAATTTACTTTGTCTAATTTTTTTCTTTTTCAATTTTTTGTTTTATTATAGGCGGAAAGCCAAGTCAAAAGCTCCTCTTCCTCCACCTGAAAGTAAAGTTACTGATTGCTCATCTTTTGATGATCTAGAACTAGCTAACTGCACTATGGACCAAAAAGAAAATGTGATTGACAGAGACATTCAGCTGTCTGTGCTTCTTCCCGGAGAGGTGATCAAGACTACTAATATTAATGGCAGGTATGTTGAACAAAAATTTGAAGCTGTTTTGTGGATGAAAACTGGATTTTCAGAAGGGTGTGTGTGTGTGTCTATATACACACTTATAATTTATTTAAATGATTTACATAGCTGCCCATCTCACACACACATTCTGAGACTTTCAGTACTAATGCCAAGATAGAACTCTTTCACATTTTATTTTATTTATTTATTTATTTATTTTATAGGATTTATATGCCGCCCTTCTCCCTTCATGGGACTCAGGGCGGCTCACAGCATATTAAAACATCATACAAAAAAAAAAAAAATTTCCCCTACTAAAAACCAATTAAAACCCAAATATTGGTAGCTGTGGCTCTTTAAAATCGTTAAAAATTGTCCCTATTTAAAACTCACCCTAGGTCAGGCCCGCTTGTTGAAAAAGCCATGTCTTGAGGGCGCGGCGGAAGGT